GACACTTCAGGAGAATTTGATTTTGCTTTTAAAAGCATGCTAGTTTTCCTTATGGAAAGCCAAAAACTTTAAAGTTGTGCCAAGTCCTAACCTGGATAGAGTCTTTCTTTCATTTATTTTATTTTATTATTACCATTTTTTTGTTTGTGTACCTGACCTTGACTTGGATGAATATAGAAGGCAAAACTTAAGCTCCATAAATGAAATAATATTCAACTCTAGCATGAAGTCCAGGATAAGGCATGGATTAGAAGGTATAAGGGTTAAATGCTAATAAAGTGGAAGGGGCTTCTTACTTTTTTAAAAAAATGTAATTCATATACTAAACAATTCATCCATTTAATTTGTGCAATTCAATACTTTTAGTATATCCACAGCATTGTGCAACCAACACCACATTCAATTTTTAAACATTTCACCATCTCAGAAACTCTGCACCTATTAGAAGTCACTCCCTTTTTTATCTCTCAACTGTCCAGCCCCAGCTTGCACCCTAAGGAATTGCTGGCTGACCCGTTTCTATGGATCTGTCTCTGCTGAACATTTCACATAAATAGGACCATTTGTTTGATATGTGGCCTTTTGTGTCTAACTGCTTTTATTTAACATAATATTTTTAAGGGTCATCCATGTTGTAGCATTAATCCTTTTAACTTTCTTGACTACATACCTAGGAGCGGAATTGCCTATCTTATGGTAACTCTAAATTTAACATTTCAATGAATTGCCAGACTGTTCTCCATGGCAACAGAATCATTTCACTTTCCCACCAGCAAGGTCTGAGGGTCCCAATTTCTTCACATCCTCCCAACACTTACTTTATGATTAAGCCTCCCTAGTGGATGTGATGGAGGCCTCTCAAGTTTCATTTCTCTCCTGGCTAATGATGCTGAACATCTTTTCATCTGCTTCCTGGCCATTTCTATATCTTCTTGATAAAATGCCTATTCAGATCCTTTGCTCTTTTTTTTTTTTTTGCAGTTTTTGGCCAGGACTGGGTTTGAACCTGCCACCTATGGCATATGGGGCCGGCTCCCTACTCCTTGAGCCACAGGCACTGCCCCCTTTAATCATTTTTAAACTGGGTTGTTTGTCATTTGTTATTGATTTATAAGGGTTCTTTTTATTTTTTATTGCCCAGGCTAGAGTGCTGTGATGTCATAGCTCATAGCAACCTCAAACTCCTTGGCTCAAGGGGTCCTCTTGCCTCAGCTTCCCAAGTAGCTGGGACTACAGGCATGCACTACCATGTCCTGCTAATTTTTCTACTTTTAGTAGAGATGGGATCTCACATTGCTCAGACTAATCTTAAACTCCTGAGCTCAAGTAATCCATGTACCTTGGCCTCCCAGGGTGCTAGGATTATAGGTGTAAGCTACTGTGCTCAGCCCTTATCAGGGTTCTTTATAGTATAACTACAGAACCTTTATCAGATGTAATGACCTTCAAATATTTCCTCCCATTTATGGATTATCTTTTCACTTTCTTGCAAGTTCTCTGTTTTTTCTTTTGTTACTTGTACTTCTAATGTCATACATAACAAGGCTTTTCCTAACGCAAGGTCACAAAAATTTACTCCTTTTTTCTTTCTTTTTTTTTTGCAGTTTTTGGCTGGGGCCAGGTTTGAACCCACCACCTCCAGTATATGGGGCCATCACCCTACTCCTTTGAACCACAGGGGCCGCCCAACTCCTCATTTTTTTTTAAGAGTTTTTTCATTTTAGCCCTTATCCTTAAGGTCTGTACTTTGTTTTAATTTTTGTGTATGGTGTAAAGAAAGGATTCTTAATGCTTTTAAAGCTGCAGTAATTGATTTTTGGTGGCAGCACATGAAGAAAGTATGAATAATATAGATTTATAAGTTTGGAATATCAGTTTAGACTATATTTTTCAAGGGGTGGTCCTCAACTTTTGAGTTCTTTCCATCTCCCTTTAAATATTTTAAAGGGCTGTTAGGTATTAAAATTACTATGGCTTTTAACAGATCTTGATTCATTGCTTGCATGTAATTGTTTAGAATGTTACCTCCCATATAACCATTATAAACTATCTGACTGGTTCTATTTCATACTGCACAAAATACACATAATCTGTATTGCCTTGAGTTATGCTGTAGGAGTGAGAAAACTATTTTGTATAATGATTATTATAACAACATTAGGGGAAAACCCTAACTCATTGCCACTGCTATTTGTTCCCTGAGTCATTACACATCAAATTTGGAGCCAGTAAAGTAATGATCATGCTGATGTAAACTTTCAGGAAGAAAATATCTTTGCCCTCGTAGGAGTATTTGGTTGTGATGCAGTGAGGGAAACAGACCTGATACAAGGTTTGTCCCTTACAGAGAGACTTCCAGGGTCTCTACTGGTTTCTCTGTAGGAACTTTGAATTTTGACTGGAGTTTCATTCAAAGACTTGTGCCTGATGTTGTCCTAAGCTGTATTTGGGCATGTACTTCAAAATAGATTTCTCTTAATTCCCTCTTTTGGTCAGTTATGCCAGATGGTCCAGGCTGCCAGACTTGAAGCCTCATTTATCCTCCTAACAAGCCATCAGTTCTTCCTTCCTAACAACTCTGCAGTGGGTTCTCACTGCCCCTTCCCTACCCAGATCCACATTAGTTCCTACTCATTTTTAAGCTTCCTAAAGTTCAGAGTAACCCCCTCACTCCTTTCTTTTCTGTAACCCCAAAGCCCAAGAGGAAATTTTTGTTAAATCTTTGTTAATTACCTTTGATCTGCCATATTTGCACAGTTTTACAACTCTATAAATGGGATTTACCCTCCCCCTCAAGGTAGAGATTATAGTAAAAGGGTAATTCATGAAATAGAAGGTGGCCAGCAGATTAACAAGCTGTGGTATATGTATACCACGGAATACTGTTCACCCACAAAAAAGATGGAGACTTTACATACTTATTATTAACCTGGATGGATATGGAACACACTATTCTTAGTAAAGCATCACAAGAATGGAGAAATCCACAAGAATCCTATGTACTCAATTCTGATATGAGGACAATTAAGGTCCTAGTACACAGTGGGCGGTGGGGGATGGGGAGAGCTTGGAAGGAGGGAGTGGGTGAGGGCTCAAGGGGTGTGGTACACCTTTTGGGGGCAGGACACAAATGTAAGAGGGTCCTTATCTAACAAAAGTAGTCAATGTAACCTGGTTCTGTGTACCCTCAATGAATCCCCAACAATAAAAAAGAAAAGAATGTGGTCTTTCTCCGGGAAAAGAAATAAGGACTAGACTCCCTTTGTTCCCTCCAGCTTAGGTCCTACAAAAGACTTTACAGCCAGTATCTTCAATTTCCACCACTGTTCTAGCCAAGCCTCCCCATGTCTGGCTGCAGCTTTTGCTGTAAGGTCCTGATTACTCTCCATCCCTAGAATGTACTCCACACATTGCCAGCAGAGCTGCTGTGTGTGTGCCTGGGTAAGGGTGGAGGTGGCGGTGGATCTAATAGATCTAATTTGTCAAAGATGGGTAGCTCTGAAATCCAGCCCTCATCCCACTAGGCTGAAGAGATGCATCTGCCCAGAAAGAGCACCTGCCTCTGATCAGCACACACACACCATAGGCGCTCTCAGAGGACCTGGCTGCCCATGTGACCTTTCTGACCATCTTATTTCTCTACCCTTTAGTGGTACCCTTCAGTGGGTCCTAATAGCCAAAGTCTAAGTTCCTTCAAATGGAATACAAGTAAACTCTCTAGGACCTAGCCTGCCTGTCTCATTTAATGAGAATGACCATATAATTTATTGTCCAAACAGGAATTTATGAGAATGACCATTTAATGAGAATGACCATATAATTTATTGTCTAAACAGAAATACTTTTGCAAGAAAGGATGAGCTATTAATAATCATGCCAGGACAGACTACTTGGGCCTCTATTTGTAACCCACCATTCCACGCCTTGGTTTCTTTCTCTGTAGTAGTACCAAACTGACAATAGTTATTCATGTGTACCTTATAATTTCCAGATCAAGAAGTTTTGATGCAGTTATTTTGAACTTCTTGTTGTGAATCTAAGGTAATTTTGACTCCTTTTTCTGATTAAACATTAGAAGATAAAATTAAAACATCTTCGAGGTCAAAATGCCAAAACCAAAATGATCATGGTCTAAACAGTGAGAATAAAACATCTAATTTTATGCTATTCTATGTTTCTCGGTTAATTGATCATAGTACTTTTTATCCATAAAGCATCTATTCTCTCTTCCCCAGTTTTCTGCTTTCTCCTGGTTTATTTTCACTTACTGTTCAATACATCACAAGGACTATCTGTTCCAATTATCTTTTCCTGACACTTCCTGGGTGGGCTCAGGCCCATCATCTTGTATGTATCTTTTTTATTGTACCAACAAAAATTTCATGAAAGTCAACTTTTCAGGCCTCCCTTGCCGACAAGACTATTAGTTCCTCAAGATAGAATCTCTGTCTTCTTAGTTTTTATGTCCTCAGTGCCTGTCATAGTGCTTCACAAATAATAGAATCTCAATAAATATCGGTTTAAAAGGACTAATTTGAACTTCTTGTTGTAATATGAAATTAAATGTGCCTCTCTTTTATCTCTTAGAGAATTTCTCAGCATACTAGTGAAGATTTACACATATTTAAAGCTTCAGAGGGTTAACTTTTGGTATGCTGAAGTTGTGGGACCTATTGTTGATTTATTTGTTATGCTGTAGAATCATTTAAGAGGAAAACACATTCCTATAATACTCTTATATGTTCTGCCGAAAGTGTGAACAGTGATATGTTAAACTTCAGTTTACCATGCCCTAAACCAAAACTGGTCTGAGAATATTGGAAGAATTATTCATGCTTAATGTGACAAAGGGTCATGAAACAAATTAAATAATAGTAGTCCATTCTTGCCTTATTTTCAAAACTCTCTGGTGTTGGTATTTTGAGTGAAGGTGCCCGACGTTATCCCAATATTAAATGTTTGTTTTAGAAGTCTAATGTCTTCTTTTCCATTTTTCTAGAATGTTCCAGACATTTAAAGAATGGTTCTGGTTGGAAAGATTCTGGCTTCCTCCAACAATAAAATGGTCAGATCTTGAAGATCATGATGGACTTGTCTTTGTAAAGCCTTCGCATTTATACATAACAATTCCATATGCTTTTCTCTTGCTGATTATCAGACATTTATTTGAAAAGTAAGTAGTATTTGTGTGTCCTTCCTTCTCATGCCTCTTCTTTGCACCAATGATAGAATAATAGAGTCTTACACTTGGTGAGATCTTTAAAGAACCTGTTATTGACGAGACTGATGGAATCAAGTGCACTTTAAATGTGATCTATAGACTGAACAAGAAAACATTAGAAACATGGATCCCATTGAATGCTTTGGTTTTGCAGTGAATTGAGATCGAGAGAGGTTAAGGACCACAGAGCTTATTAGTGTCAATGACAGTGCAGGAGACCAGTCCAACTCCCATGCTTCCATATGCCCTCCCAGAAAGACAGTGGTAGAAGAGTTGGGATGTGTTATCATCCTATAATGCCTACATAGGAACAAAAATAGCTCATTAAAGACCAAACCAATGGTCTTCTGTTGCATAGTTTATTTAAAGATTTATTTAAAGCTTTAATAGCTGCTCTTCATTTCAGAGTATAATATAATCAAAGAAAGAATATCAGTTCGCTTTTTCAGAAAAAGTACACTTTTCTTTTTCTTCCTCTTGTCTTCATTTAAATAGATATTATTTCCAACCTCTTTATCAATATCGTGTTTTAGTTTATCATAACTAATGTTATGATAGCAGCAGATAAATGTTCATCTATAATCTCCATAGTTCTCTTTGTTGAAAAAACTATTTTATCACATTAATTCATTTGGAGGAAAACAATATTCAAATGTCAAGAGTTGGAAAAACTTAAGACAAAATCTGGTACAGATCATTTGTCCAAGACCAACTGTAATGGAGATCATATGTTTATAACCATTTGCAGGGTTCTTATCTCAAGAGTTAGTTTGACCAACTCTGTTTCACGAATTCTCCAAAGGTTCTTTGTACAAATAACAACTTCACTTGGGCCAAAAATGTGCTATTGCTATTTGGAGGAAAAGGAAGCCTCTGGATACCACTAAACCCTAGCTGAGAACATTTGAAAATGTGCTTCCTTTTTGATAGTTAATTCTATTTTTTACTCGCTTATTAGATTTGTCAAAGAATGCATAAGTGAATAAAGCAGAATTTACCGCTACACTTCAAAATTAGCAAATTACTCCTTATTATTCTGAAACATTTGCTTTTCTTGCATTGTGTCTGGTGGTGTTTGAATTTGGCATCCAGGTCCATTATTTATTTCCACTACAGATCTCCTAGTTTTCAGTGGACAGCTCCATTTTTCACAGTTTGTCCAGAACTGTGAGCCAAAATATTCTTTTGGTTGCCAAAGCAGCACAGCTGTGGAGGACGAGCTTCTTATGTCTTAGTCTTGGCCTCTCCAACAATAATCAGGAAAAACTCCAATCCTTTTCTAACTCCTAGGACTGTTGTTACTTCTTCTCAAGGGATTAAGTATACTCTTTATCTTTTCTATCTCCTTATAAATTTAACTCCCAATAACTTACCCTTAGTTTTTCTCATTGCGTGACACTACAGAAAACTATGTGTTGCTGCAGTAGTCTTGCATTTCTTTGAATGCAACAGAAGGAAGGAAATTTAATAGGGAGAGAAATCATACTTTATAGAACAGGTTTATATTTTTTCTAGGGCTTCCATATTATTTATCATATATCAAACCATTTATGTAATGAATAAAATATCACTTATACCTTGCATTTGAATAGGAACTTAGTTTAAGACCTATATAAAATCCCAAGTGGTAAGATCTCAGTGTTCAGGTGAGGAAATGAGAGATGAATGACTGGCAAAAATCAAAAAACATGTGAGGGATGGATCTGGGACTTGAACCCACATGCTGTGACTCCAGGTTTGGGATTGTTGCATTTTTATTTTTTTACTGTATCAGTACTTCTTGGGCTTTTGTAGTAAAATCCTACTGATAGAAGACAGTAAACGAATAGCTCTTGGAAACAAACAAGACAAAGGTTAAAGAGATAGCAAATGTGAAATTTTTGTAACTATCTTCAAAATTCACGTAAATTAGATAAATTATATTTCAGCATACCCTATGATATATTTACCATAAGAAAGCTTTCTTCTTTTGTCTTAACTGTATTTATGCTGTATCTTTTTGTTCTATAAAGTGACCAAGGGTTGCAATTTGGCTGGCTCATTGTCCTTTAGCATTAACCAAGAGATTTAAGGTCAGGAAGTAATGTCGCCAGAAAAGCAAGAAAAGCAAGAACGGAGACAAAGAACATATAAAAAACAAAGAGGTAGATAATTTGAAAGTAAACAACATTTGCTTTTGTATTTAGGATTTCCTTTCCTTGAAAGTTTTAGTTTGTGGCTTATGTTTTGATTTTGGGGGGATAGGGTAGATCCACACTAGTAGTTTCTAATTAGTTTACTACGCATTCCTTTTTTTTTTTTTTTAGAGACAGAGTCTCACTTTATCACCCTCAGTAGAGTGCGGTGGCATCACACAGCTCACAGCAACCTCCAACCCCTGGGCTTAGGCAATTCTCTTGCCTCAGACTATAGGCGCCCGCCACAACGCCCAGTTATTTTATTTTATTTTTTTTTTGAGACAGAGTCTTACTCTGTGCCTTGAATAGAGTGCAGTTGTGTCATAGCTCACAGTAACCTCAAACTCTTGGGCTCAAGAGACCCTCTTGCTTCAGCCTCCCAAGTATCAGGGACTACAAGTACCTGCCACAATGCCTGGCTACTATTTCTATTTTTGGTAGAGATGGGGTCTCACTCTTGTTCAGGCTAGTCTTGAACTCCTGAGTTCAGGCGATCCACCCACCCTGGCCTCTCAGAGTGCTAGGATTACAAGCGTGAGCCACTGAACCCAGCTTCTATGTATTCTTTTAAGTGTCTGAAGCATAATTTAAAGAAGATCTAAACTATTTGCATTTCAACATTTGTGGAAAAACATATTATCTCAGAATAAATTGTGGTCCCAAAGATCCAAGGCAGCAGTGAAGGTGGTAAAAATCAGAAAGTCACCTTTTTTCTTTTACTTAATTGTACAGTGAGTAGATTATGCACATTAGACTTTATTTGAGATCAATATTGCTCCAGGTACTTTGTTCTCATATAAAAACTCTGAAAAACTCTGCTCTCAGAGCCTCTGAATCCTTAGGAAAGAGAATCCATTTTATGTAATAAGCTATCATATCTATTTAGGAGAAGAATTTAAATTTAGCATACTTAATATCTGCCTAGGCATACATTCTATCTGCCTAGGCATGTATTCTATAAAAAATATTAAAAATAAAAAGAGATCTGGGATTTCTGGGCTTTTGGCCCCCCAGTGGAAATGATGGGGTGCTGGACAAAGTAGGGTCTGTCTAGGTGTCTAGATGAGGCTGTCTGAAGTCTCAGTTCTGCAATAGTAGCAAACCCAAGGGGCTCATTCCCTGGTAATTAACCTAACTTTGAACCATTTACTGGAAGCAGAAGTTCACCATCCTTTTTTCTTTCTCTGGCACTTTTTTTTTCTATTCCATATGAAAAAAATGAAAGTTTAGGCAAGCAAATCTCTAAGGTATCTTCTATGGCTAGCTAAGACTCATAAGTTTCCTTCTGCTTTTAGTTCAGTTTATCAAATATTTATTGCACTTCTTTGTTCTCTCCCTTTTCTATTCTAATTTATCTATTTATCTACATTTATATAGGTAAGGTGATTGATTTCTTAGATTTATTTGAAAAGGAAGTATACAACTGTGTTAGACAACTCTATGTACATACTCGCTGTTGTATTAAAATATGTTATTTCTATCCTTGAAGTTAACAAAGAGAACCATATTTCTTTTTCTTATTTGAATTAATTATATATGTATATTTGTTCCTCATATCAATAAGTATGCTATGGATCTATACGCGTATCCACATGTGTATACTTATCCATGTACTTATAAGACCCTCCAGAGGAATGTTATTCTTCATTTAGCTTTGAGATAAGCTTGATTTACTTACTACTTAAATTTTCTTTGGTTAAATTATATTTAGCTTTTTTATTTTTCTAAATTCTTTATTTCTGGGATAACATTTAGTGAATATGACTGAGAACACTACCATGTGAAGCCATTTCATATTTCTGTTATTCTACTGGTAAAGACAATGGCTGTTCAGTTTACAAAAAATTTTCAGCTAGTAGGTTGAAAAAATGAACCAATGTGATTATTTATCCAAAGCACTATCCAATCTTTTTTATTATGTGATTTAGTTAATTTTAACTGTGTCTTAGTTTTGGGGGAATTTTTGGACCTTTTTTAATAAGTCGTTGTATATATTTGAAGGGGAAATTCATCATATTATTCAAATCATAGCATGTTGTTTGTGGTCTGTATAAGAGTACTTGAGTGATTTATTTGAGTTACTTTTTCATTAATTACCTTTTATCCCTATTCCCTACTCCCTTTCTTCTTCCTGCTGTGTTTTGTGTATTTTTGGTGGTTTTTTATTTATATCACGCAGTAAAATAATGCTTTATATACATGTATTGTTGGTTGACATAAGTGGTATGGTGTTAAGAGTAAAGATCTCTGAAAACTCTATCTCCATAAAATGATTAGAGACTAGAAAAATTAATCAGAGTTAACTTTTTTTGGAATTAGGGATTACTCAAAGGCTTACAGTAACCAGGTGTTGTTATTAAGAAACACAGCTTAAGGCTCGGCGCATATAGCTCAACCAGCTAAGGCACCAGCCACGTACACCTAAGGTGGTGGGTTTGAATCCAGCCTGGACCCACCAAACAACAATGATGGCTGCAACCAAAAAATAGCCGGGCGTTGTGGTGGGTGCCTGTGGTCCCAGCTACTTGGGAGGCGGAGGCAGGAGACTCGCTTGAGCCCAGGAATTGGAGGTTGCTGTGAGCTGTAATGCCACGGCACTCTACCTAGGGGGAAAGCTTGAGGCCCTGTCTCAAAAAAAAAAAAAAAGAAACACAGCTTAATCTTGGAAAGAACAGCAAGCTTTTTGTCACTTTTAACTTGCCCTGCTACTGTCCTTCCCTCTCCACCTTGGTGATAGCTTTGAAAAACCAGCAGCCCACAATTACAGTAGAAACCAACAGCCTGGCAGCCATTGAAGAGATCAGAGCAGAGCTGGAGGTCCTACAAGGTATCATTACAAGAGAGTTGTCATTACCTGACCAGTCTGATGGTTCTCTGGAGGACACTTCTCATGAAGCTGCCTTTATTTGACCTGACTTAGAGCTAATTCAGTGAAAAAGGGCTAATCTAGCCCTTTCCCTGAGGGGGTTTGTCTAAAACAAATAGAGGCAACTGATTAACTTCACAACTGCCTGAGCCAAACTAACCAAAAAGCTAAAAAGGAAAAACTGAAAAATTAGATATCAAAGGAGGCTTTGAAAACCTTGACATGTTCTTGGAAATCTAGAAGGCCACTTTTATTAGTAGGGATTTGCACAAGTCCAGGGCTATCTGTATGTTCAAGAAAGACTTGGGATAGCCCCAAGCCCAGGAAGTGAAGACTAAGACAGAGTTATATATTGACTGGCTGAGCACTGAATCTGTGTGCCAACATGTACATAGAGCCTTTCAGGAAAGACTGAGGCACTTACAGTTTCCAGACATTTAAGGAAATCTTTGTCTAATCATTAGCTGACCACTAAGCTAACATAATAGAGACCTAAGAGCTCATATATCACAAAGACTTTATGAATTGGTTCAAAAGAGACAACTAAACAGACATCAAAATTAATAAACTCTGGGGAGGAGAAATAATCTGGTTCTCAGAGTTGCCACATTATGGTATTTAAGATGTCCAATTTTCAACAAAAACTTACAAGACATGTAAAGAAACAAGAAAGTATGGCCCAATGCCCAGGAAACAGCAATTACTAGCCAAGTATCCCTGACAAAGCCTAGCTGATTTATTAGACAAAGACCTTAAATCAGCTATTTTAAATATGTTCTAGAGAAAACTATGTTTAAAGACTAAAGGAACATATGAAAACAATGTACCATCAAATCAATAAAGTGATAGAAATTATAAATTATAACAAAGAACCAAATAGATGTTCTACAATCAAAAAGTACAAAGACTGAAATGAAAATTTTGCTAGAGGGGCTCAAAGCATATTTGAATAGGTAGAAAAAAAAGTTGGAGTCTAAGGAACAGAGAAAAATGAGGAAAAATAAAAAGTCTTAGAGATCTGCATATCAATATATACATAGAATTCCAGAAGGAGAGGAGAGAATTCAGAGGTCAGAAAAAAATATGTGAAGAAATAAAATGGCCAACATTTTTCCTAAATTTGATAAAAAAAAATATGATTCTTCATATCCAAGAAGCTAAACAAACTCCAAGTATAATAAACTTGAAGTGAGCCACACCTAGATATGTTATAATCTGTCAAAAGCCAAAAACAAAAAGAAAAATCTTAAAAGCAGCAAGAAAAGAGCAAGTCAGCACATACAAGAGATTCTCAATATGATGAGAGACCATGAAGGCCAAAGACAGTGAAATAATATATAAAATAAGTGCTGAAAGAAAAAGCCTGTCAACCAAGAAAAACTATCCTTCAAAATGAAAGAAAAATTAAGACGTTCTCAAATAAATAAAAGCCAAAAGAATTATTACTAGGAGACTCAGCATACTGAAGTGAGAGTACACAAGACAGTAACTCAGACCCACATGAAGAAATAAAGAGCACCAGGAGAGGCAACTATATAAGAACATGACGAGATAGTAATACTTTTTTCTATCTGATTAAAAAGATATTTGCATAAAATAATAATCATAAGTCTTAGCTGATCAGAACACAATTTATGGAGATGTAATTTTTGATAATAATAGCATAAAGGAGGGGGACAGGGAGTTTTTTATTCTATTTAAATTAGTAAGATATTAATCTGAATTAGGATATTATAAATAAAGATGTTAATTATAATCCCCAAGTCAATCACTAAAAAAATTAACTTTTAAAATAATAAAACAGGCTTGGCGCCTGTGGCTCAAGTGGCTAAGTAAGGTGCCAGCCACATACACCTAAGGTGGCAAGTTCAAATCCAGCCCAGGCCCACCAAAACAACAATGACGGCTGCAACAAAGAAAATAGCTGGGCATTGTGGTGGGCGCCTCTGGTCCCAGCTACTTGGAAGGC